TGTTCATCTAACGATTCACTGTTGCTTTCAGGCTAGGTAAGATAATACGACACCTATCCCCAAGAAGAGGCTATATTAATTGGAATTGACGTCGTCATACCACCAGTATTTGTTTACTGGTGTTTCCGCGCGATAAACCATTCGCATATTTTTGCTAAAATGACGGAGAGTAGACATGGGATTTCGACCTTCGCAAAAGCCGAGTACTGTTCACGTAGTGGGCACAGCCGTGAATTGTTTGTAAATTAGTTCATCGTCGGGTAGACGTTTGCTGAGCCTGTCTAATTTTCTCTTCCGCCACGAACGACCTTCCGATGGCCCGGCTAAGTAAACACGTCTAAAGGTGTGTATGGGCACTGTAAATGACAGTCAGACAGCCCGGTTACGCATGAGACACACTGTCTGACCTGTATCTTACATATACTAGACCAAATTTTGCGAGTAGGGCTCAGTTCTCACAAAGGGTAAAATACATAAAAAGACACAGAAAAAACGAGCTACTGTAACATCATTCTCAGTCACAACAAGGACAGAGTCATCCAGTCAGATGATATTTTATAAAGTTACGTCAGTCAGACTTATTCCCGTGAGGATGAATTGGTAGTAGGCACTCAGGGATCGCCCTACAAAACTCAATTTTCCCGCTGTGCCTTGGAGCTCCCTCCGTGGAGTTCCGCCAGCAGCCGCCCAGCGGCGCGTGATGTACACAGAACAAGATTACCGACAAAGACAAGGGAGACTGGAATATACATTTCTAGCTTGTTACCCGTCGTCAACCAGTCATACCTAACCGGAAGTGTAGAACACCTGGAACTCGATCTCGCGATCTGTTGGTTAGAATTCCAACTTGTATAACCACTGGGCCCCAGGTTCATTGTCCTATTGGTTATTAGAAGTTCAGCAGGTCGCGGAATCAAGCACCAGGTGATCAACACTTCGGGTTTGGATATGACTGACTGACGACGGCTAGTAAGCCAGAAATAGCCATTCCAGTCTCCCTTGCCTTTGTCGCTAATGCTATTCTGAGGATGTATTTCCAATATCAGTGCAGCGTTGACTTGTACCAGTCAAGTCAATGAAAGGCACAGACGCAGCGGCTGACAAAGCTAATCAGCCCGTCTACGCATGTCAGACACGAATTCACCACTTATTTTAAATATATTAGGCCTCATCCAAAGGGAATCATGGAACTTACATAAGTGAGAGTGCCACAAATTTTGCGTTAGAAACGAACCTTGTTGTCCGACCCTCAGTCCTAGGTTAGACCGAGTTAACCAGTTAACCTTTCAAGACACGAAAGGGTAACATGATTCGATTCTGCAGATCACGTTTTTGGTTGTTAATAGTGCGAAGCTAAGCGCCGGACCCAAACTGGAACGATATTCTCCCTCCTTTCATATGTCAGTGGCCTGTCCGCGTAAAGCCCACTGGGAGGGAAATTTGATGTAGCGGCTGGTTTGACTGAAAATCTCCGGCTGCTGCACGCTGCGCATGGACTCGGAGTGCTAGGTGTCAGAAAGGACCCATTAAGGAATGATCGCAATCTGGTTTTCATCTGAAATGCGGACCAAGTTACCATGTCAGCTACCAACCTATCAAGTGACGACTTCCAGATCGTTGAAGTAGGCCAACATAGTCAAAGTTATAATGATGTGGAATGCACCGCTTTTTTCCAGGAGGAATGCCTCGGCAATGCATTTATTCCCCCCTTTTTGTCTTACGCGGCAGCTATCTTTCCGAGTTTCTTCCATGATTAGGTTACGGGACATGCTCGTCCCGTTTCGACTTGGCGCCAAATCTATAGCCCTCACAGACAGTCACATAGCAACAAATAATGCATATGGTGGTAATGATAAAGGCAAGGGAACCGAAGCGACCATTTTTGCCTTATAAGCCCTAATCAGCCGATATTATCCAACGTCAGATTTGGGACACCTGAGGTCCACTTGCTATTACTGACCTTGGGCAACAGCGTTGTACATTTAGCGCGTTAATAGCTGGTACGGATCAACGGTGCGGCAATAAAATGCGTGGGGTGACTGAGTTCGAATGCTGGACGATATCTGAATAATTTATTATTTCCTCTACGCATATAACTGAGGAAATTCGTTATGCGTCTGGATGTTTTAGAGCAGTGTAGGTAGATAAAACGTGTGTGTTGCTTGAAATATTGGCACCACTTTCGAAGTCGTGCTGGTTTGGGTTCGCAGACATCCGAATATAGCGATCAGCGGCTAGGATGGGGACCATAGTGAAATCAAGTTTGCACTCAGTCTGCGTCCCTGGCAGCTGTCTTTTGCTTTCTGATGGTATCCCATATTGATGGTGTCAAGGGTGCCTGATCAGGTCAAACTAGGCGAGGAAAGGGGTTATGTACTGAGGGCAAGTTGGAATGCTGTCTTCGATGCCGTTTCCGACAATTTCCTGTGCAGCATTTGGTTTGGCCATATTGACAATCAAATGACTCTGTACGTGTTGAACAATACCGGAAGGGCTTTGCACACAAATTAGCCATGGAGCGTATGTGAAGGGGTTGATGCTGACGGTCTTGGTTCGCAACATCCAGTCTTGTGTAGTCATTTTGCTCCAGACTTTTGCAATCGATTGACTTCGTAGGATTGCTGCCTCAATTTTGACGGCGTTTCTCAATGCCTGCCAGTCCTGTGCAAGCGTTTCCAAGGCCACTTGTTTCCTTCGGATATACTTGAGCAGTGTATTCAAATATCCTTTCAGCGTGTTGGTGGCCCCCCTTGTCTGCAAGTGAAGTTCCTCTAAAATAGTCACTTCGGCAGTCGCTAATTACTCGTCTTCATGATGTGGTCGCCCGTCGCAGTTAGATCTGGTTCAATATGTCAGGGATGCCCGGCATATCACCCAACTCCGGGAAACGTTACGGAACTCCACCTTAGAGATCCCTCAAAGACAACTTACGCGATGGCACCTTAACCTGTTTTTTTTCGTTTGGCGTTAGTGGATTGCCCAGATTTGCGTGTCATTGAGCTGTATAATCGCTAAGCGAGTCTCACCTATTCTGAGCTTGGCACTGAGGGAAATGTTAAGAAGAATTCAGACGGAGCAAAGGTCTGGCTGACTTCAGAGATTGCGGTTGCCCCGGAAAGACGGGTTGCCCCTCAGCCTAGCTGCTGGCTACCTGGCGTGTTCACAGGTGGTGGATAGTGGGATGACCTTCAGTGGAGGTTAACTGCGAAATAAGCAGACCCAGGTCTGACGAATAAGCAGTCGCGAACCAGCAGCGACTACCAGGGTGCGATGGGCTGAGGTCTGGCACGATAAAAGCCTTATAAAAAGCCGCAAAACGAAATGACGGCATTGTGACATGGCGACCGTAAACCGCGATTAAATAAGTGTCCTCGAAACTGCTGTCGTGTGGTTAGGCTTTTAAGCCAAAATACTAGAGGAGGAAACCTCGAACAAACAATCCGAGCAGCTGTTGGTGACCCACCCGTATTCGAAATTTCCCAGAAACCTCATAAAATATGTCCGATCACAGTATTACGACCCATGCTACGGCGTCCTCGGGAACCAACGCGCTCCGTAACCCTGGTTCAGTGGTGCGGGCGAATAGTATGCGAGCTGGACTACGCAATCGTGGACGGATTCTTGGTATTGGATGCTGGAATGTGCGAACGTTCCTGGACCCTGGTACCTAAAGTCTGACCGCACGCAGTCTTTATCAGAACAATGTGGATGTCTGCTGTCTCTCTGAAGTTCGACTCCCTGACTCAGGCTCCCGTGAAATAAAGATCCCGGGAGTCGAATCCCACTTCACCCTGTATCACAGCGTCCCCCGCGATTCCTCTGGTCGACACGATGTGGCGATCACCCTATCACGACAAGCGGACCTCGTGCTACTTGTTTGGGAACCAGTCAATGACCGGATGGTCTACGTGCGACTAAAGGATCACTGCAGGAACATCTCCATTGTCTCTGTGTACGCACCAACTTCGACTACCGAACAGCGCGATGAAGAGGCGTTTTACTCTCAGTTGCGAGCGCTAGTTGAAAGACTGCCTCGCCGCGATCTGCTGATTGTTGCTGGCGATTGGAATGGTCGAACTGGACCTGGCGACCCCACAACCAGTCATCTTCTTGGCCGCTTTGGGCTTGGCTCCCGATGCGAAAATGGCGAGAGATTGCTGAACTTCGCTGATCGAAACCGACTGCTTGTCACCAACACATGTTTCCAGAATCGAAAAAACCTCTGCTAACTTGGCATTCAAACGACGGTCATACGGTCAGTCAGATTGACTACATGCTAGTCAGCTCATAGTTCCGCAGCTGGGTTCACGATAGCAGACCGATGCGTGGTGCCGAGACTGGTAACGCCCATGGGTCGGACCATGTCCTCTTCCGTACACGCTTGAGAGTTCACCTCTCATCCGCGGCAAAAATGCCACGTCCTAGACGTCTCGATGTCGCAAAAATCCGGCAAGCCAGCACAGCCGAGTCTCTAAGCAGAGCAATCCGGACCTGTTTTACGACCCGAGGCGACGGAGAAGTCAGTAACCAGTGGTCGTCATTGAAGACTTCAGTCTATGGGGCAGCTGAGAAAATCCTTGGATACACCCACCGACGCCGCACTGACTGGATCAGCGAAAGAACCCTACAGTTGTCTGCTCAGACTGCTCGAGCCAGGTCCCGCAACGATGACTGCTTCCGCCAACCTCGGAAGATGACGGCAAAATCGTCCAGGGATGACCGGAAACAATATTGGGCTGAAATAGCAACCTCCATGGAACAGGCCCCGAACGTTAGTGACGCTCAAAAACTCTACGTCTGATCCGCCATGTTAGCAGCAAGTCCTCTACACTGATTGACTCTGTTCGCGTTGTGAACGGCGGTTTTATTGCTGATAATTCGGCCATAGTCGAGAGCTGGCGTGAGCACTTTTAACACCATCTCAATTTCGATGCGCAACCTACCTCGCCCTTGCTCTCCTCTTCGACGGAGTTTCTTCCCTCTCCTACCGATGCAGTGTCATGCCTCCCCCCTCTGAAGGAGAAGTCGCCGATGCCATACGAAAGTTGCGCAACAATAAGGCACCCACAGAGGACTGTATATTCGCTGAAATCTTCAAGTCCTGTGTCAAAATTCTGACGCCCTGGCTCCATGAGGTGATTGAACGAGCGTGGACAGACGAGGTTGATCCTGATGACTGGGGCTTGGACATCCTTGTACCTATACTAAGGAAGGGAGATAAGACGAGATGCGAGAACTACCGCGACATAAATCTCATCGAGGTTGCTGCGAAGATCTTTGCTATTGTTTTACTCAGGCGATTCTAGGCTGTGCGTGACTCAAGGACGAGGTCCAACCAAGCCGAATTTCGTGCTGGACGTGGATGCGCAGACCAGATATTCACACTGAGGCGCATTTTCGAATTTCGCTATACCTACCAACAACCGACGGCTGTCTGCTTCATTGACTTTGCCGCCGCGTTCGATTCCGTTCACCGTGAGTCCCTGTGGCGGATAATGGCGCTAGATGGTGTACCGGCCAAAATCATCGCCATGATCAAGGCCTACTATCGTTCTACTACTGCGAGAGTCCTGGTCCGCAACAATCTTTCCCAACCGTTCGGTATTCGGTCTGGCGTCCGACAGGGTTGTATCCTGTCGCCAATACTGTTCAACTACGCTATTGAATGGATCCTCGGGAGGGCTCTACGCGAGAGTGACGGCTTTGAGTTTGCACCCAGACATCGACTGACTGATCTTGACTATGCCGAGAATATCGCCTTACTTGCTTCAAATTTTAGTGCTCTGCAGTCTTTGGTGTCACGGTTGAACGAAGTCGTCAAATCTGTCGGTTTATCCATAAACGCTGGGAAGACCAGTGTTTTCAAGCTGCATCCCTGACCAGGAGAAGGTACCCTTTGGGGTTGATGGCTGTCAACTTGAAGAAGTAGACAGTTTTAAATACCTTGAGGCGAGGCTGCTGCCTAATGGACAGAGTAAGGATGACATTGTCTTCCGAATCGATGCTGCCCGCTGGGTTTTCTCAAGCCTTCGGAAATGCCTGTGGAACCGACGTGACCTCTCCATCGCCACTAAGATTCGCGTGTACCGTGCATCTGTCCGGTCTGCCCTTCTCTACGGTTGTGAATGCTAGGCTTTGCGCGTGGAGGACGAGCGAAAACTGGAGGTATTTGATCACCACTACTTGAGGACCACCCATCCAGTAAAGTAAACCGACTTCGTCTCAAATGAGACAGTCCGCGCTCGCTGCGACAACATCGCGAAGATAACTCGGGCCATCCAAGAGAAACGACTGAGGTGGTTCGGACATGCTCTTCGTCGTCCACCTCAGGAGCTCAGTGTTACTGCCCTCGTTCCGGCACCGTTGCCCCATTAGAGGCGTCGAAGAGGGCGTCAGTTCAAAACCTGGCTCGACACAGTTCGTCAAGACATGGAGGTGCTTCTTGAACCTTCGATATTCGGTCTTCGTCGTTGGCGAAGGGAATTGGTTAAGCTGTCCAGATCTGCCGCCGCAGATCGTCACGCATGGAGGGGTACAGTTCAGGACATCATCGAGGCCGGCTAGATCAGGCATGATCGCAGCCGTATCAAGTACAAGTAATTGCGGTTGTCATGCAATTATCGATTCTGATATTTTCTGACGAGATGCTGCCCAGGTAAAAGAATTCGGCTGCTGCTGTGAGACAACTAGTACTTACAATCATTGCGGAACCAATGTATTTGACAGTTCACATTATTTGATGCATAACAACAGTCTATCGTTTTTCGATTGTTAGCCAAAAGTTAGCGCATGTGAACGCGGTTAGGTGCGGATTTCGTTGCGCATCCGCCTTGCTTGCCTGTTCAAAAAACAGTCATCAGCAAAGACGTCAGGCCTTTTGATCCTTCAGATTTTTGTCTGCATACGACAGATTGATAATAAATTCCCTTCCTTTTGACAGTTTCTGTCGGTGTCTGGTTGATCCTCACAGTCTAGTTCCGGCAGGTCTGCGGAGTTTGAAGAGGGCTGTTACGAGAACGCAGCCTCGCCTTGCTTGTTTTTCCGCTGCATAGCCTTCGATGTCCATATGTTGTGCGTTGCACGTCTCATCAGGCTAGCATGTAGCTGCCGATATGCATGTGTGGTAACAATTACCAAGGACAAAAAAGCAAAAGGCAGAAGAGACAGAATATTAACGAATCCTCGATTTTGTGCGGGGGAATGGGGATGATGGGCTTGTCTACTGGAGACGCGTAAACTGCCAATCACCACTGCCTAACAACCCGCGCATCGAATGAATCCATCCTACAGAATAAAAAGCGATTCCATTAAGGCAGAAAAGTAGCCTTTCGAAAAAAATTGGCAATCAAAACAGGACAGCGACCAGTAATTCCCTATGGCTTTAGGATAAAATAATACGGTCATGGGGCGCCACAATGCAGCAGAGAGTATCGTCATACGTTCTGCTTAGCAATCAGGACACATTAATTGGCATCTCCCAAACTTCGTCTAAAGTGGCAACTTCTGCAAATGCCGTGTCTTTCAATTAAAAGTTCGACTTTACAAAATAAAAATATATTGTCCACGGGACATAAATAGCTGGTTTTCGTTTAAAAAACTGCCTTGAAACTCTCAGAAGTCAATTACTCTGTTTACGTTTAGTAAGCTCTCGCGGGGGATCCGTTCCTATATGTTCTCTGATTTCATGTTTCAAAATCGAGTTTATGTGTTTAGACGGACTTTATGGACAGAGCCCTGCAGTAGAATAGTGGATTTCGTTTGGCTATTTGGGGGGCTGGCTCCCCTAGAGAATGAGGCTCTAGAGCATTTGTCGGTTTTCCCATATACTTAGAGGTTTATTCATAGACTTTTTTGAATGGCGCGTTCTGTAATAGTCCTATGGGTGCATCGATTCAAGCACATTAAAAAGAACTTGCCTGTAAACCTACTACTTTGCTACCAAATTTACCGTTCACTACAGCAGCCATCTGTAGAATTGATGTTCCGCTCAAATTTATATTGTGATAAAATATCACCCACATCGGCAAAGACGCCTTTTCCGCAACATGCGGCTTCTGTCTTTGAGCCCATCAGCAACACTTGATAACAAGTCAAGTAACTGTAGGTTACGACAGATTATTCCATCTTTAACCACGATTCGTTTGTTGGAGCACTTTGTTGTTAGGTACATTGCTGTTTAAAGTATCTGTAAAATAATAACTTGCAGTGGATTTCTTCAATTTGCTGGATAGTTATTGCTCAGAATATCCGGAGACGAGTGCCTACCAGAGTATTATTGACTAGTATATCATGTCGGAAAAGGAATTGCACCCCTCTAGAGCGTGGAGTGTATACAGAAACCTCGGAGTATATGATCTCAGGTCGTGCAACCCCTATTGCGAATTGAGAGTTTTGTGTACAGATGTCCAACCGTAGTGCATATTCAGGCCCTCTTTGTTGTTTACTGCTTGGACAGACAAGCCTGATCCTTGGAAGTGCTGTTTGCCTTCTTATTAGGTCCGAGAGGATGTGTCATAGATCACTGACATCTCTATGCAGCTGTTGACGGAGAAGAGATCTACCGTAGTTGTCTTGCTGTTGGATGACTGCCTAAATTGTAATGGGGCGGATACTATTGCTCGTTATGGGCAGACTACATTGCTACCTGTATTTTCTAATGTGGTCTTTCTAATAATCATGTCTGCGGTTTTTAATTCGGATATGGTGATCTTCTCAATATGCTTACTTCAGCCGGGTTCACAAGCCGAACTGCCAGACGCCAGTATTCTGTATAACATAAAGTGATGCTGACCAGGTGATACAGCTCTTCCGCTGTTTTGTTCTCATCTTGACGTCTGCAGCAGGTTCCCCGCTGACGTATTTGATTTCACACCTATAACAGATCAGGTTCTTTGGTTGCGTTTGATTGTAATCATGTACTCGAAAGCTAACAACTACGAAATGTTTGCACGCAATTTTGCTGGTGGATAATATTGGTGTTTGACAGTTTCATGTGAATTTAAATAACAACGACATTTTCAGCCCTACCTTTAAAAAACACGCATGACTCTACAAGTTGGCATATGCGTTCTCTGACCAGGGACGCTCTATTAACGACTTGCAGGGTACAGAAAACACAGTAACAATAATAACAAAGAGACTGGTCATTTTGCCTTAGTAGACCGCTCAGTTGGCGTTTTTGTCGCCCAAATACTTACCTCCCGTATATTTGGGTATAAATATGCAAATTATCTGATGACCGAACAGAAATCCTAGTTGACAGCATGACAGAATTTTATTCCGCCATTAGAAATCATGTGAACCAAACCTCAATCGAGACTTATATTTGTTACCAGTTTAGTACGCGAATCTGACACTTAGTTATCTTTCCAAAAATAATCGTTGCTTTGGTTGCTGCCGTCTACCACCTCTTCATTATATTGCAGGGAAACGCTTGTGTAAGTTTACGCTAGGAAGGACAACAACGTCACTTTTTCATTCTTGTTCAATTTTTTTGCCTTTATTCTCACCAGTCGCCTAGGACTTATTTTTCTGTATTTGGCAGAAGATCAAAATGCCGACTCTTCCCACCAACGGCCGACCAAATCATAAACTCTACCAACCAAGTAATTCGTCGTCCATCTATGTCATGAGTCTTGCTCTGGAAAAAGATGCATAGATGACGGCTAATCATTTGCAGAGCGCAATATAAGACGGAAATTCCTAAGTCTAAAAACTTAATTTTCGATTGCCACTACGCATTTGCGCCAGGAAATATAATATGTGAAAAACGTTGAGCTTTTGTTGCGCACGAGTTTAAATCGAAACCAAAACTCCGCATATCATAGATAATTTCCAAGAAGACCATTCTAGTACAAACAGCAAAATACTCATTCTGCTGATTCAGGTCAGTGTTGTCAGTGATTGTCGTAGTGACAATCGGTTAGATTTTTTTCTCTATAGAATATTCATCCAACTTCACAAATTCATCCCAAGTAATTGACATTAAAGTACAAAGTTAAGGACTTCCTCAAAGGTATTCGCAACCTCGGAAAGATAAATTTCGAACTTTTACTGCGGAAAATTTAAGAGTGCACAAGTTGCACCGGTATTGTGCTTCAAGTAGACTGCGGCCTTGGTGCATTTGTGCCCGAACTGGCCAACGCTGCATGCAGACGACCGAGCCACGCACATAGTGTCGTCTCCAGCCAAATGTCTGGGTGCTGCATTAAAACCGGACGCCTCAGACGTACAGTTACTAAACCCAACTGCAGTGTCTGAGGCTTATTGAGTTTCTGAATAATGGGTGCTGGTATTTTACTAAGCATCGGCCCAAGTAGTTTAAATATGCCAAATAAATGTGGTTGAATAGAAATTTCCCGGTATTAGCGAAAGGAGGGAGAGGGCGCAGAATATTAGGGGTTTTCTTGAATTCGGCAACAGCCATGAAGGTATAGGACCAAAGGTTTCCCTATTGTTCAGTTAATGCTGCCAAAAGCTGGCAATTCGCTGCATCATAGACATTTTTGTTAATAAATCACAGGCTTCCGTACCTCTCTGCGGATCTTTTTTCGATTTGAAAAATCAGAATTATATTTATCTTAATATTCTGCGAAACGTTCGTTTGCGGCCAGTTTTCTGACCGATGTAACATAAGGTCTCACAACCATCCTTGTTGTTTTCGAGATTTGAACCACTGTAATACAGTGAACATTGCTTTTCTAAAATGTAAGTATGTTGACTGTGATAGAAGTATGTGTTACACGTGGTACATGTGTTTGTTTTGGCAAATGTGCAGTTATTACACACTTTCATGGAATTCAGAAGCATGCTGCCCATTAGGACAGAGTACCTAAGTGGAGTTAAGATGCACAAAATCAGATAATATTTTAGATAAACT